TTGATCACTGGGCCCGTCAGTCCCCTCTCCCAGCCCCAGGCAGCTAGCTTCTAGGTAAGAGGCTAAGGAATCAATCCAAGTGGATCAGATGTCCAAGTCTAGTTGGGGTGAACAGACTTGCTTGGTGACTGAGAAGGGCTTTGGAATTGTTGGGAAACTCATATAGATCCCAAATCTCACGTACACGGGCTGTGAGCCCTTGAAAATTTGGGCGCTACATCTTTCCTTTCCTCCCTCCCTTCTGTTTCCTTCCTTCCTTCCTTCCTTCCTTCCTTCCTTCCTTCCTTCCTTCCTTCCTTCCTTCCTTCCTCCCTCCCCCTCTCCCTTCCCTTCGTTTCTGCCTTCCGACTGAACCCAGGGTTCACACAGGCAAGTTCTCTACCCCTGAATATATGTCCAGCCCTCTTTTCACATTTTCATTTTGAGACGGTCTCATTAAGTTGCCTAGGCTGGCTTTGAACTCCGTGACCCAAACTGGCCTTCCACCGTGATCCTCCTGCCTCAGCCTCCCTAGCACCTGGGATTCCAGGTCTGCTCCAGTCCTGGCCACTCTCACTTCCTAAATGTCTTGTGTGAAATAGATAAGGGAGTGTACATGACGAGGTCCCCAAGCCATCTGCCCTGGGTGTTTAATAAACAGCTATCAGGGTCGAGGGCAATTGTAGCTGAGGTTACATCCCATCCCACCAACCCCTGAGGTCTCCTGAGAGTGCTTTCTGGCTGGATTTGGGAACTGTGGGCTCACTGACTTGTGCTTTCAATGGCAGTATTTAACCCCCAAACAAACAACAGTGATAAGGGAGCAGTTATAATGTCAATACCCACCCCTACGCACACTCTCTACTTTTGAAACTTTAGAGAGTCGACTCTAAAACATGGGGGTTTGGAGACCTAGTACTGTGCACTTTGAAGAAACAGCTCTGCTCCCAGCCACACTGGACAGCACAGCCAGATGGATCTGCCCACACTGTCAAGACCGACAAAGACATGGGAGTTTGAAATGGATGGGAAATGCCCCGTCCTGGGGCCCGAACACATCCATGTAAGAGTCAGAGGGCTCTTCTGCAAGGACAGAAGGAAACTGGACTGGGATTGAAAGGAAGAGTGGAAACAGGGAGGGATGGGGTAGGGGGACCTGGGCTGCCCAGGCTGGTGGACAGGGTAGGGGGACCTGGGCTGCCCAGGCTGGTGGACGGGGTAGGTGAGGCTTCTTGCCTAGGGAGCCCAGGCACTCCTGCCAGGACTCATTCCCCATCTCCTAGTTCCAGTGGGTCTTTCCAGCTGAGGAAGTCACTCTGGGAAGAGTGGAAACAGGGAGGGATGGGGTAGGGGGACCTGGGCTACCCAGGCCGGTGGACAGGGTAGGGGGACCTGGGCTGCCCAGGCTGGTGGACGGGGTAGGTGAGGCTTCTTGCCTAGGGAGCCCAGGCACTCCTGCCAGGACTCATTCCCCATCTCCTAGTTCCAGTGGGTCTTTCCAGCTGAGGAAGTCACTCTGAATGCAGGTAAACCAAGTCACATGATCAATAAGGGTTCATAAGGGTTAGGTAGTCATGTACACACAACAGAGGAGGAATTTAAATCAGGTTTTTTTTCCCTTTCCCATTTTCACATGTGTGTATGTATACATGTTTGCATGTGTGTGGGCACATGCATGCATGTGTGTATGTGGAGGTCTGATATTGGGAAACATCCTTGATCATTCCTCCACTTATTCATTAAGGCAGGGTCCCTCAGTCAAACCCAGAGCTGGCTGATTGATGAGGCTGGTCTCAGATAAGGTTGGTCTCAGTAGTCAGCTCTGGGAAATCCCCTCTTTCTGCCTGTGAGGCTGGAATTATGGGGGACTGCCTGGCCCACCTGGAATTTATGTGGGTTCAGTGGCTCTGAACTCTAGTCCACCAGCTTCCTCAGCAAAGCCCTGTAACCACTGAACCATCTCTCTAGTCTCTAAATACATTTATTTTGAATCAATGTCTAGGCGCTAAAATGAACAGCACAGCACTTGAAAGCCGGGAGCCTGGGTGCATGGTTCTCACTGTGCTCCTCTGCCTCCCTGGTGTCCACCCCCCCCGCCCCAGCCTGGCAGGTCCTCAATCAAATACATGCAGAAAGAATAAATAAATACATCACTCCACCAGAAAGTAGATTCCAAAGCCTTATATAAAGTCAAATTTATTGGAGGCCATTTATACTTTAAATGGGCAGACTGTGCCATAACCCAGAATCCCACAGTTCCCACTGGCCGCCTTTCTTGGCTTCTGACATCACTAACCTCTTGTCCTCGTGTCCTTAGAGCACACAGTGCTTACTGTGTCCCCAGCACCATTCTCAATGCCTGACACGCTTTGGTTTATTGAGTCATTATGAACTTCCATAAGACCACCCTTACCATTCCCATCTTCCTGGTTAGGAAGTTGAGGCAGATGCTTGTCCAGACCCACAGCTGGTACATGACCAGCATGATTTGAACCCAGTCAATGTGGCTACATGCAGAATCCCTGCTTTTAATGGCTAGGATCTTCTCTGGCATCTCTTTAACACAAGTATGAGTGACTCTTAAGTTACAGACCGAGCTCTGTTAACACCAGCTGATCAACATCTCTAGACAGTGAGCGCTGGTCATCTGATCACTCATATCCCTTGAAGGTGGCTATGCCAGCCACACTCAGAGGACAAGTCACAAGACCAGAGACTGTAGGCTGTCCAAGGGCACAGGCACTCCTGGGTGGACTTCTTTTTCTTTATTCTTTAAAAAAATTTTTTTTATATGTAGGAGTGTTTTGTGTGCATGTATGTAGGTGCACCTTGTGTGTGCAATGCCCATAGAGACTAGAATAGGACAATGGATCCCCCTGGAACTGGAGTTATGGACCCTTGTTAGCCATCATGTAGGTTCTGGGAACCAAACCCAGTCCTCTGCAAGGGCAGCCCACGCTCTAACCACTGAGCAATCTCTCCAACCCCCTTTTACTTCTTTATTCCGTGTTTCTTTATTCCCCAGGAATAAAGACTCATCCAAAAACATCCCTGATACTTTGGGAATGGGCAACAAACTATGATATTTGTTTAACGTCAGAATGTGAGAAAAACTCGTGTATCAGATGTCACCGTGTCAAACTGATGCTGGAAAATTGTAGAACTTGAAACATTCAAAAACATTCAAGAGAACTATTTTCAATAACAGCTCTGATTTACCGAGTACTTGCTAAGTGCTGGGCATTGTGCCAAATGTTTGCAAAAAGAATTCCACTTTGTCTTATGTGGAGAGGTGGCTGGTGTTTTCTGAACTCTATGGACAAAATAATAGTAGGATCAGAGAGGGTAAGTAGGTTGTCCAGGCTCACACAGCATGAGAAACAATGATGATGGCAATTTTCTGACCCTCCCTGCAGTCTTAACCACTGAGCTGGAGCTAGAGCGCCTTGAGGGCCCAGCATCTAATTTCTCCACAGATTTCCCCTCTGTCCGTACAAGTCACGTTTTGGTGCCCACTGACGGGCGCTGGCCCCTGTGGATGCTTAGAAAGTCTTTGGCAAGTCTTGCAGGGAGAACCTGGGAGACACCTTCATCCTGCTGGGACTGAGACCTTGGAGAATGATGCTCATCATGGGATGTGCTGGCAAGTCAGGCCCCCGCCTCTGGTCAGACACTGAGCATGTGTGTGCTTACAGTACCACCTCCTTGCTGAAACTCACAGCAAAGCAAACAGCGGAGACAGCAAAGACCAAACACAGCGACTGACACTTCGAATTTTTTCCTATCAGCTGGAGCATTCATATATAATACTGAAGGGCATACGGACCGAGAAAAAGCCTACCACGGTTGAAAACTCGGCTGGCAGCAGAAAAGAGGCACGTATTTACAAGTCAAAGGCTAGCTCTCCCTCAGAAAATGGGGTAGTAATACAATTTACTTATAAGTTCTTATGAGGATTGAATTATACGGAACAAATTCCATGCTCAAAACAAGTCCTGACACACAGTACTCACAGTGAGTGCTAACGGTATGCATGGTTGCTATTAGCAGTCATAGTAATAATGTTATTATGACTACCATTAAGGGCATGTCTTTCATTCTAAATAGTAAAGCATTTTTTTCTATATTTATTTTCAGGTTCATTTTTTTATTTCACATTTGGATACTTAATTTTCATATTTTCTTGAAGTTATTGAGGATCTAAATACGCACTTATCCTGGTTCATGCAAGCTCTTACTCCATTAAGAGGATACAGTGTGTCTGTGCTGTTTCTGTATCTTGACTCTTCTGTGTAACTACCGTTTCCACATGCTACTGCTCCAAAAATATTTTGATGTTACTTTTTATTTTTATCGTGTGTACAGGCCATGTGTGTGCAGGTGTCTATGGAGGCCAGAAGAGGGCATTGAATCCCTTGGAACTGGAGTTCCAGGCAATTATTAGCTGCCATATGTGTGCTGGGAACCAAACCCAGTCCTCTGCAAGAGCAGCCTGTGTTCTTAATCACTGAGGCATCTCCCCAGCCCCCTTTTACAAATATTCCATATGGCTGCAGAAAACCGACTTCCTAAACACACCAGTGTGAGCACTCCCCTACTGCTCAGTACTTAGCAAAGTTCCTCTCTAAGGACCATGCCCTGGACTGTACAGAAGTCACACTGGCCCCTCCAGTCTCCTCAGGAGAAACTTTAAAAGTGGAATTATCTTGTCTGCGGGCTTACACTGCTTCCATCACAGCAAGGGTTCCTGGAAAGCTACAGTTGACCTGAAGGTTTTGACCTCTGAGCTGCCTCCGGATGACCCTTCTAGGTTTCTGCGGACTAGTGTGATGCAGGCCTGGGGCGCCGATGTGGAGCTAGAGCCTCTCATTGTTACCCTCCACCCTCCAGTTCTGCTGCCACAGAGGCACCCACAACACATCACTGCAGGTTTGATGAGGCGCATAAATAATTGGCTCAGCGGGAAGAGAAGGCTTTGAAATCCCCATTTCTGTGCAGGGTGGGCAGGCGCCGGTACTCACCTGATAAGTAGGGATGGTTTCTCTGTCCAAGGTCCGAGTCACAGAGACGCTGCCTGTGTTCTCATTGATTCTGAAAATTCCTTTAGGCTCTTGATCCATTCCCTTCCCAGTGAGCCGGAACTTGGACCCTTCAGGTCTGTCACTATCGACCACCTGGTCAGAAAAACAGAGTGATGGTTAAGATAGTCTGAGAGACACAGAGGAAGCTCACCACAGACCCCCATGGTGACCGGTCCACTAATGGCTAAGGTTTGCAAATATGCCTGACAAACCAGGACTGGCCTAAAGCAACATTGCGCAAAATAGCATCATTGTTTACCTTTGTTCATCCTAATATGCAGCTCACTGTGGCTTACAGCTGCTGGAGTTTAGCAGTGCTGCAGAGGCCTGGGGTGATGGATCAAGGAGGGCCAAAACGCTGGGAAATTCACGGTGGTTGGGCACTTACATTATTTTTAATGGGGGAAGAGATTTGTTTTTCTCTGCAAGCGAGACAAAACAGGCACTTATTCACCAATTCCACAGTGGGTAGGCACTGAGCAAGGTTCATGGTATTTGGGTTTTTTTTGGTCTTTTTGAGACAGTTTCTCTGTAGCCCCAGCTGGCCTGGAACTTGCTCTGTAGACCAGGCTGGCCTCAAACTCAGAGCTCTGCCTGCCTCTGCCTTCCCTCCTGAGTGCTGGGACTAAATATATGCACCACCACACCTGGCAGTTCAAGGTATTTAAAAAAATATTTTAATGGTTATTTTTATTTTATGTGTATGAGTGTATTGCCTGCATGCGTATAATTACACCTGCATAACTGAGCCATCTCTCCAGCCCGAAGGTTCGAGGTAGTTCAGACCACCTTGCATCACCAGCACCTCCTGCCCCTCAGGAAGTCTTTTGCATCTATTTTCTTTAAGCCTTCAAACAATGCTGGGGGCAGGAATATGTCCCCCCCAACCCCGCTTAATGGATGAAACCACAGAGACAGAGCATTAACCAGCTGACCATGAACACTGCTCTTAAACAGACAAAATGAGACTCAAACGCCATCTTCCAGGTCTCCAGATACAATTATGCAACCATCCATCCTTTCTGATCACTGGCCTTGGTCTGACATTTGAGGACTAAGTTCAGAAGCTAAAGATGGAGTGTGCTAGTTCCAGGGTAAGGAAAAAATACACAGAAGCAGCAGGCAGGTGAGGGGTGCCTGGAAAATTCTGGAAATAGCGAGTTGTGAGCACAGTTTGAGTAGAGATGAGTTGAGGGGAAGTTAAGTGTCACTTTAAAGGGGTCTTTTCACTGTGTCTGAAGTTGCTTAGTTGAAGAGAGGAATGATATTTACATAGGCTGGTTCCGGAGTTTACATTCAAGTATTTATCACATTTCAGGAGGTTCTGTTATCAGTGTCACCAATGTTAATTTGGTTATACAAAAACAACTTAAAGGTCATGAACATGATAGATAATGGGGACCCACAGATAAAAGAAGGGGGCTGCAGAGCTGGCTCAGTGGTTAAGAGCACTGGCTGCTCTTGCAGAGGACCCAGGTTCAATTCCCAGCACCCACATGGCAGCTAACAACTGTCCATAATTCCAGTTCCAGGGGATCCAACGCCCTCTTCTGACCCCCACAG